GGATTTTCGGAGGGGGGGGGGAGACCCCCGGGCTCCGGAGGAAAAGGTTGGCAATTTTCCACAGTAAAGCGGCGGTGGATCACGCTCTCTCCAATATGTTGATCCCTGTGGCGACGAGCATTTTGCCATAACAGAGCATGCGGAGGAATACAGCGTTATTCAAGATGCATGGAGGTTTTGGTATCTTCGCATTTGCAGAGCCCCCTTACTGGCAGGATGCGAAAATTCAGGATTTCGCATTTGTTCATGATTTCGAAGGTGCAGTAAACTATTACAAGATGTTCTTGGAGAGTTTGCAAAACACTGGCGCCTGTGTCTTTTTTCAGTCCTTGGCGGACGAACAGCGTTGGTTCAAGAACCATTGCGCAACAGTCTCGGCTCCAGAGTTACGAACACAGCCGATCACGACGAGGTCAGGAAACAATGCAGTCATTATCGACGATTTGGTACACACAACAATCGTATTTTTCTGGACAGCGGCATGATTGACAGCGCACTTATTGCGTGGGATATGAGTTATGAAAGGTGCCGCGGTTTCAATACCAAGATTACGGGTACCTTACGTGTACCTGTGGAAATCGTGATCCAATCAGTTTCCCAGAAGTTCTCCGCGCAGTGAGCGTTTATGAACCACGACCGGTGAGTCCAAATGGTGTGCAGCACAAGGATCGGTTGTTCGTTGGAGTCGATAGGGACCTCAAGGGGCACCTCGTCGTCGCGGCTGGAACGGCTCGAAAAGTTGGCGCGAGTGCGGGTGGGAGTCCGTGAGAAGCAGAATTAGATTTGGGTCCCAGGGTCGAACAATTATGTTGGCTAGCCTTTGCAAGGCGCCCTCCCGCAAATGTCGCGAGGTGCTACACTGTGTTTATCCTCAGGGAAGCCGCCCGACAGTGGGGTGGAGGAGCTCCTACCACGATCCTTCCGTGTCGCTTAGTAGGTATGCGCCCCATCGGTCGGGGACGCCGGCCCCCCCAGAATCTGCGGTGATCCCAGGCGTGGCAGTGGGTAGTAAATCGTTTTCGGTTTCAGGTGTTGCCACCTCTCACGAGCAGTGCATGGCCGCTCTCGTGGAGAGAACTCGTATCAAAAGAAGCCGCCAGAGGCAACTCACCCTGTGTGTTGCACAGGTATTTCTTGTGCTGTGCACTCCCATTCGGGCAGTCCGTGTCGTTCCGTTCCTCCCTCCACTCTCGTCCTTCCTCCCTCCTCTCTCCTCTCTCCTCCCTCCTCCTTCCTCATCCTACCTCTCTCCTCCCTCCTCCTCTCTCCTCCCTCCTCCCTCCTCCCTCCTCCTTCCTCCTCCCTGTTTCCTTCTCCCTCCTCCCTCCTCCTCCAGCTTCTAGGCTCGTGACGCCGATCTCCCCTCGAGACGCTGCCAGCGCCCCTCCTCCTCCTCGTTCTCCTCATCCTCCTCCTCCTCTTCCTCCTCTTCCTCCGCATCCCTCTTCCCCGCCTGCCTCCTCTTCCGCATCCCTCTTACCCTTTTTCCTTCCTCCTTACTCCTCCGTCCTCGTCCCCCCTCCCTCCCTCCTTCCTCTCTCCTCGTCCTCCCTCTTCCTCCTCTTTCTGCCTCCTTCCTCCTGCGTCCTTCTCCCTCCTCCTCCCGCCGCATCTTCCTCCCCTTCTGTCCTCCCTCCTCCTCCCTCCTGCTCCTCCTCCTCTTCCAGTCTCTTACTGTCCATTCGAAATCGCAGCGTGCACTCGCTGCTTGTTGTTTTGACCGGCACCCGCTGTCCAGTTAGGTTATGGGTCAAGCAGTTGCTCGGAGCAGGAGTGCTATCCTTACCCGAATCCAAGGCACATCAAATATATAGTTCTCCTCCTCCTCATCTTCCGTCCGCATCCATCCTCATTCCTTCCTCACACTTCCTCCCTTGTAGATCGATCCTCCCTTCCGCACCCTCGGACGTGTCGGAAAGAGCGGCTCGGGCGTGTCGCCTGAGATTTACATCACCGTTTATGATCGTGACGTTTCGAAGGTGCAGTTCCACGAAGGAGG